GAAAAGAAAAGACACAAAATGAGCTTTTCAATCTCTGCCAACCTCTCGCCGCTGCCTAGCGACCGCGAGGCCATTGTGGACGCCATTGCGCGGTGCCTCTGCGGCCTTGACACGGCTGACCGGGCCCTCTTCCAGTCAGCTTTCACCGCCGACGCCGTATTTGACCTCAATGGCGCGCTGCTGCACGGCCTCGACGAGATTACCACGTCGTGCTTTGACAACGTGTCCAAGCTGGACACGACGCACATGACGAGCAACGTGCGGACAACCTTTTCAGACGACGGACGCGCGGCGACGACGACGGCGACGGGCGTCGCGTACCACTACCGCGCGGGCAAGGGGCTGGCCATGGAGAATGGAGGCGCGACGGAGCGGCTGGTGGTGGGAAGCCTGTACTCGATTGATCTCGTCAAGGTGGAGGAGGGGGAGGGGGAGGGGGAGGCGACGCTGTGGAAGGCCAAGACGTGGAGGCTCAAGAGCGTATGGACGCAGGGCGACTGGGCCGTCATGGGCGCGCTGCCGGGCAACAGGGGGACAGAGGAAGCGAAATAGCGGCGATATTAGAATACGCGCGCATGGTGAAAATGGGTGCAGATGAATTAACTCTTTGCGGTGTTTTCTTCGCAAGCGGGCTTTGCATCGGCCCCGGTTGTGGCTGATGGAAGAAGCTCTGGTTATATCAATCTCAGCGAAACGGCATCCATATATACACTGTCCAATGAATCCAACAATTTAGACTTTTGACTTTGAGATGTGAAAAAGGTCCGAGCCGCAGATTGTATTAGTACCCATGCTGGGAACTTGGGGGAAGGCAGTCAAGTTTTTGAACTTTGGGGGAACCAGTCCACGTGATGAAATGGGCACGACTTGGATCCGGCGTATCGCATCACTTTAGCTGCGGCTTTCCACATAACGTATGCACTGCTCCGCCATCGTCTTGAGCACCACGGCGCGTATTTTGTTCCTGAAGCAGCTGCGCAAATGCTCATGGAATTTCAGTCTTGAGTGGGAGCGTGGCTAGTTGGAAACCTTTTCATTGCTGAGTCATCTCAGCATGCCAGCTGGCGAGTGACGTCCGCTCTGCGATCAGCGACCAGCACCATGTGGGAGGTATGATCCTCCAGTAGTGCGACCCGACCACTTCAAGCAGCAGCTAACATGACGGTAACGGGAAGCCACACCCAGAACAGCAATTTCACTTGCGTCTGCATCGCGCTCAGTCGGTTGTGCTCACTAATGCCGAGTAAGTGCTGCTCAACCTTAAAAAAAAAATTTCCAGCAACGGCTTCAACTAGTAGCTGACCTACAAATAGGCTAGTCGAGGTTCGTGCAGCGCAGCGGACATTCGAAGGCGCGTACATGCGGACAGCGCTTGGCCAATTTTCATTTTCACTAGTCATTCTCAAAATTTTCACGGATGAATTCTATCCGATTGGTGCGCTCTTTGCCGTATACGGCACTGCGATTTTGCTTGTTGCCGTGTATCGACGGTACGAGGGTCAACGACAATTCTTCATCAAGGAGTCCGCCGATGGTCTGTTGACGCGCAAATTTCGGACTTCGGGCCATACTGTGACGCTCTTGACACTTCTTAGTCTGCTGGCATATGCGACCTTGCTTGTACTGACTCTGCGTTTGACGAGGGACTAGCCATGGCTCAGTCGTTGATCACTAGTTAGCATCCATTAGATGTGAAGTCTGGCTCTGATGACCGACACATTCCCACGTTGCCACGCAGCCAAGCCTCCAATGCAAGGGCCACCGGACATTAAAAGAAACAAGCCTTTTGGATCTGGCAGCCTTGATCGGTGCAGTCTCACTCTGGTTGTGATTGACCTGTTTCGGGACAGAGTGAACAGCCTCAAAGCACTGCCACTCCACAGCCACACGAGAAACTGCCTTGGAGGCCTTGGAGCGCAAGGTTACAATAGCGGATCAGAGTAAAGGGTGGTTCAAATACCAAGTTCACCAACAGGTACGGCAAGGCTCACTTGTCTAGTTAGTCCCGGCACCCACGCCTACACTATTTCCGCATCCCGCAACGTTGGTGCGAGGTAGGGCGGTGGTGGTGTGCATCGTGAGGCGTTCTCTGCCTAAAGCTGAGGCGGACTTGGGGCCTCCAGCCCCACGGATGGGCGACTAGTTCAGGACCCGATGGCAGAATGAGACGAGCAAGGCTGACGATGATCAAATGATTAAGTGGCTGTGGAGAATGGCATGACGGCATGGCTGTAGCAAATTTATTTTTATTTTCATTTTTATTTTTGGGAGGACGAAATGGCATTGTCTGGACCGACTTCAGAATTAGACAACAGACCAGCCTTGGTGGAGAAGGCGCCAAGGAGCAACAGTGGGTAGAGCGATGGATAGCTTCGGGATGGCAGGTTGCGGCAGAAGCGGCGGGTAAATTAGGTTACCTGACGGCCAGCTGTAATATGAACCGAGATATCGTGAGATTGAAATGCGGAGGTTCAATAGCTGCAGCAAACGGAAGCCTTTCTGGCCAGGCTTGACTAACGGACCGACGCTTTCTGACGGGCCGGTACCTTTTCAGTCTTCATCAAACGGGTGCTCAGCTGCTGCCAGCTGGCAAGCCCGGCCATGTCCCAATCAGTCCAAATCAGGCAGTCGCCTTGGGCCGCTCCTGCCTGCCCACTCGTTCAGTTCAGCTCCAACTCCACGAGGCAACCACTGCAAATCATCGACCACTAATAAGTGACCACTGAGCTGCCAGCTCCTTGGACTTGGCCCTGCTGGTCCGCCAGGCTCACAATCTCCACACCACAATCGCTTTCTCATCTCTCTCCTCTTACCATCCTTCATCCGCCTCGCCATTTCTACATCTCTGCGCTCATCCTTTTTACCTTGTTGGGCTCTCCAGGCATTATTCTCGGCCGCCATCACTCACCTCGCTAACTACGCCTCCTGCCCGTTTGGCGTCTCTCATCATCATCGGCTCCGGCGCTTCACTATTGTAGCTTCCCGCTCGCCCAAAAAAATATCCCCCGACACATCGCCGCCCAGCAGCCGTTGCTCTGCTCATTTGGTACTCGCCGTCTTGTCTTGCAAGCTAGCAGGGGTTGCATTCTAAGCGCTTCTCCTCTTCGGCTCTCAATAGATACTTTTCGTTTGCCACCATACCAACAAGACTATCCACTGAATCACTGTGTCGCTTCATCTTCATCAGCCTTCTCCGCGCAGCGAGCCGATCCTCGCTTCTCCTGCGTCGCAACCACCTCCTCTCCCCTCCGCCTCCTCATCCCCGGGCAGACTGATCCGTTTCTCGAATCACCTGTTAGGCTGCCCCCCTCGCTTGCATTTGGGCTTATTCACCAAGCCACCCACCGCACGCTACCCATAGGGCAGGTTCGTGCAAATATGCGCCTAGAGACTTCTCTCGCGCATCACTCCAGCTAGGCCTCCCGCAACTCTTCCTTTATTCTTGTTGCCTGATTATATACCCGACGTGGCCCGGCCACACCCTGCACCCGCCAGCCATGGCCTCCGCATTCACATTGGCGCAAAGCGATCATCACGACTCGCTTCAAGACACTGGCCTCGAACCCCGCAACACCTCGTCCTACCAAAACCAATCCCTCAACCATCAATTCTCTGCAGCGCACGACGCCTCACCTTTACTGTCGCGTGTCAACAGCGAATCACTCTCACCATCCTTCGTCCACCTGGATACTCCCGACGCCTCCCACTCCACACCAGGTCATTATCAGGCCAGCGACTACAGCGATCTCGACGCAGACGAGGACCCCTTCTTTGGTGTCGATTTTACAAATCCGCACGCCGTCGGTTCCAGCTTTCTGGCAGAGACCGGTATATGGGAGCAATCCGTTCTTGGGCATGACCCTGTCGCCGAACAAATACAATCAGACGAAAGTTATGCTGTGTCATACCCATTGACTCCAGAGCAATCATCCTCACTAAATATAGCTTCCCCTGCGGCCAACGGCGCCACCAATCCACCTACCTCTGTGTCGCCACGAGATCTCCAACGAAAATTCAAGGGCGCCACACTCTCTGCCGAATCGTCCCAACTGACTCCAGCCCCCACGGGTAGTGGTCGCTCTAGCGAGGACGGTCTTGTTCCTGTGCCGGTGCCCATGCCTGTTCAGAGCCCCAGAGTTACCGTCTCAAACTGGGACAATGACAATGGCGTGGCACCTGCCCCCGCCGTGGAGCGCACGTTCGACGACACTAGCACAGTTCGGGGCGTGCATTCCGTCGGCGAGTTAATATCTGGCAGTCGTCCAGGGACACCCAACACTACCAGACGAGATTCTCTTGGCCGATGGGAACCAGATACAAGAACTGGCCACTCGGGCATTGACCCACGGAATCGGACATCTGAGGAGGTCCCCAGCATCAACGACTTGGTGGCACAAGATGCTCGTCAAGAGCTGGACCATGAAGTTGGACGCTGGCTACAAGAGGGCCTTTATGACAATATGGCACCAACAGAAAAGACTGATGAAGAGATACAAGCCCTCAACCAGCCACGCGAAGATGACGACGGTATCCCTCTGGGCAGCAATACCGAGAACAAACATGTTGAGGGACAAATTTACATTGACCCCACAGGTGGTCCTCTGAACGATGAGGACTACAAAATCATACATTCCGCCCACCACTGGGAGTCTGCGCCGGTGTCACACCCAATCATCTCTGGTGAGCAAAGTCGCTATCAACCAGAGTCATCACAAGCTGCTATCGAACGATTCGAACGAATGCTGCGCGATAATGACTCTATCCTCTCTCGCTCGGCCACGTGGGGAACCCGTCGACGCAGTTTTCCAAGCGTGATTGATGCTGAGGGCGTCATTAGCGGCAATTTTTTCAAGAAGCTGTCTATAAGCAAAGCAGAGCCCAGGAAGACTTCCAAACCCACCGGCTTTTTGGCCGAGCTTCGCGGCTTGGTTCAACGAACGAGCTCGTCTTCCATGCGCAAGAGATCGAGAAGTCGCTCCAAGAGTGCCCAGGGTGACGAGTTGTATCGAAAGGACAGCCAGCAATCAGACGAACGTAGAGATAGCTCCCCGCATCTATCTCCCACCTCGCGGACGTCTAGCTGGGGTAAGCAGCCCACGCCCAGCATCAACTCTGTCTTTGCTACAATGGCAACACCGCTGGCCTCTATCGGGTCAACGCACGCTCGAAGCGGATCAATCAGCGGCATTACACCAGTGGCCTCTCCCAAGAGTGGCTTCTCTCTAGCTGTCGATAAAGTACTGCGCCGACCTCGCAGCAAGTCCGACCTTCCCAAGACAACACAGCTGAACGTAGCCACCGAGGACCCGCAGACATCATTCTTTGACTTGTGGAAAAAGTCTGGTGCCGGCTCGGCCGTCACAGCCCGCAGCAAGCCAGTCTTCACCGCAGGCGCGCCTGATATAGATGATGAAGATGATGACGACGATGATGACTTGCTCGAGGACTCGGAAATGAAGAAGAACCCCAACGAAATCGACAGCATCCCGCATACGTTCGCAGGATTCCAAGATCATACTTTGAAATTAAATCCCGGTCTACAAAGCGGTGGCCTTTATCTCGTCGATCGCATTGCGCATCAACAGGTCATTCGATACAAGCATCTTCTGAACCTCAAGGTAAACCATATGCGCCAGGGTGCCAACTGCGCTTGCGGATCACTCTGCATGGCGCTCGGCGGCTCGGCCAAGATTCTGGGCGATCAAAAAGGCGACAGGGATCGTATTGGTGCATTTGGCACTCGCTTTGAAGACGATGACAGCCCTGCAGAAGGTATCATCAGCAACGAGAGCTTCCCACCCGACATCCCGATGCCACCCACTCAGTATCTTCCCGCAGAGTTTGAATGTCAGCTGTGCTACCAGAAGAAGAAGTTCCAAAAGCCTTCTGACTGGACCAAGCACGTGCACGAAGACATCGGCCCCTTCACCTGCACGTGGGATAAATGCAGGGACCCCAAGACGTTTAAACGCAAGGCTGATTGGGTACGTCACGAAAATGAAGGCCACCGTCACCTAGAGTGGTGGACCTGCGATGTCGAGGACTGCCGTCATACCTGTTATCGCAAAGACAACTTTTTGCAGCATCTAGTGCGCGAGCACAAGTTTGTCGAACCCAAGGTCAAGACCAAAGCAGCCATGAAGCGGGCTGGAGGCGTCGAGCCAACATGGCAAAAGGTGGAAGAATGCCACATGGAGACTGAAGATAGACCGCAAGACGAGCCCTGCAAGTTTTGTGGCCGCGTCTTTCCCACTTGGAAGAAGCTGACGGTACATCTGGCCAAGCACATGGAACAAATCTCGCTCCCGGTGCTGAGACTCGTGGAAATGAGGGCCAAGGATCTGGGAGCTGATTCCATCATTAGTCCAGTGCAGGATCCGCCAGTGCGGCAAATGCTACCCGTACCCAGCGATCAGCTGGGATTGGGAGGTGTAGCCTTTGGCAACCAGGCATTGCACCCTCACCACGCACAGATGGGATACGGACAGAGTGTGGGTGGGTTCGGGTATGCAATGGGGCAAGGCAATTCGCAGTTCTACCAGACGCAGTATGGAAGCATGGGCCAGACAATGCAGACCTCGATGGCAGACATGAGCAACGGTCTGAACGGCATAAGCAACGCCATGGATATGAATGGCGTCAGTGGCTTCAACACGACAAGTGGCATGAGTGAAATGAGTGGCTACGACGCGGATCGCAGCATGCAGAATTTGGGTGGGAGCGCTGGGCAGTTTGGGCACGCGGACCAATCTTTTCTGAGCTTGAACAGCAGCCTCGACGGCAATCTCAACAGCAACGGACTGGAGCCATTTCCATCTCTGGATGGACTTGGTGTACAGGGAATGGTAGGGGACGGGATGGGGGGGCATTTGATGTATGAAAACAGAATGATGGCGCAGCAAAGGACGAGCCTAAACGGTAGTCCTTTCAGCGGGCATGAGACGTTGTCGACATATTCGCATTCGCCGCACCTACAGGCGACCAACCAGGAGCATGGGACGTGGGACAACCAAGGGATGTTTCCTTCGTGATTGGAGATGAGTTTGCAAGTCCGCTTGCCATGATGACTTTGATTTGAGCATTTGCAATTCTTTTTATTTCTTTTTGATATGACACGTTTTGGATATCACTTGGCGGTTAATAAGGACATGATGGGAGTCGTGCGGGGAAATTCTCCACCCGATTACAGTATTTAAAAGGAAAATATAAGAGAAGATTAAAGATGACTCAATCAAACCAGCAAGTGGGATTTTGTGCGATGTGATGTGTTGGGTTTATTGTCCTGATCACATGTGTAGCGAGGCGCTTGTGGTATTATAGATGAGACGAGGCTAAGACGTTGTTTGGCGGCTATTACTTATTCATGAGTGCACCACCACTAACAGTTAATCAGGGGTGCAGTTGGGCAAAGGAAAGGCGACTGGATGGCCGCGTTGGGCGTGCGAAAGCCGGAGATAACTGTAGCCTACTGCGTAGGCGGGGGTTTTAGGGGTTAATACAACGCGTTCATATACTCCGTAATTTAGCTAGCAGGGTCTTTATAAATTGATACGACGGTGCAATATCGGGGTTTTCTGGAAGCGGGTTATTTCGGTAAATTCATGGCAAGGGATGGGGTAACAGCGCAAAATGAGACTTTTGTAGCGAGTAGCAGTAATGGTGTACACTGCACAGTAGGTGGTGATTGAAGTGTTCTTTTGTGAATCGCGTGCGTAGTTGACGCTGGCGGTACGTCAGAAGGAGCATCTACGGCGAATTCGAATTACGCTGCTTGGTAAAATTTGCCAACCTCTAATTGCCAAAATTGGCGACTCATTAGTCACGATGATCATGAAAAAATACATAGGTGTTTTTTTTGTAGAGAGGCGGAAGCCATGGGCAGTATTCTGCAGCACTGCCTCGGTGGAACTTCTGGGGTCACGAAGGGTGAATAAAAATAGAACTGGGTGTAGATTTGTCCGTAGCAGTGAGCACATTGATTTTTTTTTTGGTCCGTCCTCTTTGACGATTATTAGCGCTGGGTGTAATTTCCATGGTAAGACCAGGGGTCTTGCTGATAATATCCGGGGGTCGGGTAAGTAGTCAAGTAGTGCAGACCAACTGTCAAAACTGTTTAGAGTTGGTCTGCACAAGAGCTTGACCTGAATATGAAATGAAAAAAAAAAAACAAGTCTTGATAGAGGAAAGTTATCGGTGTGTGAGTGTGATCCTGCGTTTATTTGTGTCTCCTTGCCGGTGAGGAGGAGTATGAGAAATGTTTTATGTAGCTGTAGCTTGTTTGGCAATTGTTACCTTCCTAATGAATGAATGAGGCTGCAGTCTTTTGGCTTGTTTTCCCTTTATTTTCTTCTTTTCCCATTTTTTCTGGCATTATTTGAGATTTTCATGAATGCAGGGGGAGAAAAGGGTTAATCGGCTTCGCAGTTTGCATAAAAGTTTATGGTTCGTGAGTAATGAATGTAGGGCTTGGATGAATGGGCTGGTGTTTTGAGTCGTGTTTCAGCCAGGTGGTGACCTTGATAAGACTGTCATATGTAGCAGTACAGGAAGGGATGGTGTGTGTGTGCAGGAGGTTAGTGGTGTGATATGGATGAGAGGCTTGTGCACAGCGCATAGGATGGGGTTTGATGGCGCTTCTAGGGGCTTCTTCGTGATGTGGCGAGCACAAGTGAGGATGTCGACGGAGGGAGTTGGCAGCTGAGTTAGGAAAATGATTCGAGTGGTTGGAAATTGATGTGCTGCTGATTGTGCTTGTGCCTGAAAGAGAGCCTGAGATCAGGGGTTGAGGGGTGCGTGCATGCAGTGTGCAGCGGCAACGAGTGGGGCTTTGAGCCTCTGCCGGTGACTGTTCTTTTTTGTCTCGCCTCTGTCTGTCATCAGCTGTCAGCTGCCATCTTCCTCTTCTCTGTCCGTCCGTCTCTGTTTGCTTGACAGCTGCCAGTGCGTTTGCTGCCAGCTGTCAAAGGTATTTTCTGCCAGCTGGCAGCTCGCGTCGCCCATGAGTCCATGACCGGAGCTCCTCTTTCCGGCAATCGATGTGGGACCCGGCGCCGGCCCCGCCGGCCAGGGGCAGTCGTAAGCTAAAAACGTAAACTGCTTGACTGCTTGACTGCTTGACTGCTTGACTGCCAATGCCAACTTGCCCACTGGCTGCGCAACAATACCTTATGATTAATAAGGGTGCAGCAACAACAAGGTGCTGCAACAATGGCTGAGCATGACAGGCTAAACCTAACCGAGAGAAGCATGGCATGGATCCGCCTCGTATCTTTTGACTTTATGCTCCTTGACTAAGGAACTAATGCAATCAATAAAGAGATCATGAGGCGACCAGCATTCCAAAATCGAAGAAATAGAGATAGCAGTACGCGTCGTCAGCTATATGTGCAACTGTAGTACGACATGCATGCTTTTCTCTATCCGTAGTGTCGGGCTAACTGCCCTGGGCGCCTGGCCCTGACTACTGCAGCCAGCCCATCCATCTCGAAACACGCCCAGCAAAGTCGCATCATGCATGGATGCTTCCTTGGTTCGAGTCCACCCACTATGCAAAAGCCAAGATCTGATTCGCGTCCCCCTGTATCTTTCTTTTTACTTGCATCCTAATCCGTAGAGGTTAGGTAGTTACTGTGCTCCCCCCATCTGTTGCTTTACGCCCGCAGAGCCTCCTGTGCCGTCCTTTGTCTTCCCCTGTGCCGCTGCCTTTAACTACTAATACTCTACCTTGTGATCCGTACCTTGGCAGAGGTACCTGGGCTTCCCACCTTATTTGCCTCTTGACTCAAGTATCCCCTGACCTGGACCCTCTCCTTTCCCATAAGCTAGGTAGGTAGGTACCTAACTTCCTGTAATTCAACTCGATGGCACAAGCACCACCATCACCAACCACATTCTCATCATCTCCCCTTCTTCCTTCTTCTCGACTCTTTTACCATATTTTCCCGTCATCTTACGACCAGTCACTCGTTTATATCACTTCTCGCCCGCTTCACCCACGGGAAAAAAGAAAAAAAAAGAACAGGTAGACCCTCCACCGCCTGGGTCGTGGTTCGGCCGATCCCAGTCCCTAGGTCGTTTCACCTTCATTCCACCCAACACGAGGTCCTCCCAGCCATTCGCTGTCCACGAATCCTGTCCAGACTCGACCTTTTTCCTTTTTGTGGTCCACCGGCTCCCTCTCCCGGATTCGAGAATACCCTTCCAGGAACAAGACCCTAACTACGGAGTAGAACGCTACAAACTACGGATGGCCTGACAGCTGTTTCCCACTCATCCGTTACTCCTGGCGCTTAACGACCATCTTGACTCCTTCTTCGCCTCTGCCCATACCCAACTTCTTCCCTCGCCAACCGCAAACGAGGTGAACTCGATATACCGACCTATACAATCATTTCTTATTCAACACACTCGATGTTTTCTCGACGAGCAAGTAACCTTGGCCGACCTGCCCAATAATCAATATCCACCAGGGAAGACAACACAGCGACTTCCTGGCTTGCTCCCCTACCCGTCTTTTCACCGCGTCCTCTGCTGCGTTTCTTTTCTAGTCGACGTGCGTTTCGTTCTCTGCCCCTGACTCTTTGCTTGACTGCCCTGGAGGCATTCATTTTCATCCTTCTTTCCACCTTCGTTTCTCCTTGTTAGAGCCCAGTCTTTGTGAGACGCATCGAAAGCCTGGTCGCTCTGATCCTTACTCACCCGCACTCAACTTTATTCGCCCTTTTCCACGACTGATATTCAATCTCTTCTCGACCTTCTCTCGCAAATTGCATTTCTTATTGCTTGGGGCAGCCTTCTCCTTTTCATTCGCCATGGCTCGACCATCAACACGATGGAGCTCTTGGCCCTCACTCTTCGCCAGCGTCCTTCTTGCCACCGGTGCCATGGCCTCTGACATACTCACAACGTCTGGTTTCACCGACTGCGGTTCCGATTCTTCCATCAAAGTCGACAAAGTTGATATTACGTACAACAACGCCAATAAGACTGTCATGTTTGATGTCGCCGGCACCAGCACTAAGGAGCAAAACGTCACCGCTCATCTCAAAGTCAGCGCCTACGGAAACCAGATTTATGAGCGTTCCTTTAATCCCTGCGATACCGCGACCTTTGTTCAGCAGCTCTGCCCTCTCCCCGCCGGTAGCTTTGCTGCTCGCGGCTCACAGCAAATACCCGACGAGTTTGCCAAGATGGTCCCTGGCATTGCTTTTCAGGTCCCAGATATTGCTGCCAACGCCAAGCTCGAGCTCGAGTCTGCTGACACCAAGCAAAAGGTGGCCTGCATCGAATCCTCCGTCACCAATGGCAAAACCGTCAACGTCCCTGCCGTCTCCTACGTCGCTGCTGGTGTTGCCGGTGTTGCCCTCCTCGCCAGCGGTATCTCTGCTGCTGGTGCCGCACTCGGCAGCGGAGCTGGCGGCCCTGGTACAGGTACCGTCAGTCCCAGCTTTACTGAGACCTTTGGTTGGTTTCAGGGAATGGCCATGAACGGCATGCTGTCCGTCTCCTACCCTCCTGTCTACCAAAGCTTCACCAAGAACTTTGGCTTTTCTGTCGGTTTGGTTCCCTGGACCGGCGCGCTTTCCGCCATTGATAGTCTCCGTGAAAGCACTGGAGGCAACCTCACGTACGACAATGCCGAGTACGTTGCCAACGCCACCGCTGGTCAAGGCAGCATGTTTCATGCCAAGCGCGCCCTCGGTGCTATTGCCACCATTGCCCTCCGCGACATTGAAACTTCCGTCAATAGTACCGAGGCTACTAAATCGCCCAGCAGTTTTCAGCAAACTGCCCAGGGCATCGAAAAATATGCCCGACAGCTCGCCGTGCCCAAGTCTGATATCTTCATGATGGCTCTGCTCGTTGTTGCAATCATCATTGCCAGCATTGTTCTTGTTATGGTCTTGGTCAAAGTCATTCTCGAGGCCTGGGCTATCTGGGGCACCTTTCCCGAGTCGCTCAAGGGTTTCCGCAAGCACTACTGGGGGTCCATTGCTCGCACCATTACCAACTTGATACTGCTCCTCTACGGTATCTGGGTTTTGTATTGCGTCTTTCAATTTTCCCGTGCCGACTCCTCCTGGGTTGCCAAGCTGCTTGCCGGTATTACCCTCGCCATCTTCTCAGGTGTCCTCGGCTTCTTCGCCTGGAAAATCTACTCGACTGTGCAAAAGCTCAAGGCTGTCGAGGGTGACGCGAAAGGACTCTACGACGACAAGGAGCTTTGGACTAAGTACTCGCTCTTCTACGATGCCTACAGCAAAGGCTACTGGTGGCTGTTTATTCCTGTCATTGTCTACATGTTCGCCAAGGGTGCTTGTATTGCTGCTGGTGATGGTCATGGCATGCAGCAGACTATTGCTCAGCTAGTCATTGAAGGCTGCATGCTCGGCCTGCTTCTTTGGAGCCGTCCATACGAGCGTCGCTCTGGCAACGTTTTGAACATCATCATTCAAACAATTCGCGTTCTCTCCGTCGCCTGCATCCTCATCTTTGTCGAAGAATTTGGCATTGCTCAGACCACCAAAACTGTCACTGGCCTCGTCTTGATTATCGTTCAGTCAACCCTCACCGGTCTCCTCGCCATCCTCGTCGCCTGGAATGCCATCAGCGCCTGCATCACTGCCAACCCCCATCGTTTGCGCAGAAAAGAGATGGGTAGGTCCCAATTTTCCAAGCCAACTTAACGTAGCTGACAATCACAGAAAAACGTAACCGCGAGCTTGATACTCTTACGCCTCTTGATGCCCACAACTCGCTTCTCATTCGGCCAGGCAGTGGCAAATCCTTCTATTCGATATCTTCTGTCGAGCAAGAGAAACACCAGGCAAATGCTGCGCACACCAACGTTCCCAATCCGTACTCGTACTACAACCGCCAAACCGATGATGGTGACCGCCTTCCGGAGGCTCCCGAACCCTACCGCGATGAGCCGACGAGGGATTTGACACACAGCGAGCAACGCACTTATGGCCACGCCCGGCAGCCTACGTTCCCCGACCTGGAAAATGGTGGCTACCGCGGTGTACCACAGACAAACCCCGGCTATAGCCGTTGGTGAAGCTCGTATACGCCTAATATCACGTTCCTTACCCACCAAACACTACTTGACCACGCTGTACATATTGCCGCCACCCGCCAATTGCCCAAGTATACATCAATCTACCATGCGCCGATCCGAATCGAAACCGCTCACTCACTGCTATCGCCCTACCGAACACCATGTCAACTTTGAGGCTCAGTTGGTTCGTCTGGTTTTTCAACGGGCATCTTTTTGTCTGGGCCTAGATTTAGATGAAAATATCGCTGATTGTACCAACTCCATGATGATATATCGTGCACGAGCAATCTGAATGGGCCTACTTTTTTTTTTTTTTTTGTAGACTTCGAGCATCGCGTCTTTGTTTTGATATCTTTGCCAAGTGAAAGAGATTGGGTATTTGAATTGTTAGGGAAATGACAAGACAGAGAGCGACAACAAGTCATTCTTTTAATACAACGTTAAGATTTAACAGAAGTACATTTCACAGACCAAAGTAGCAGGAAGAAGACGAAAAGGTGGGTCCTTCTTCAGTGAAGAGACTACGGAGTAGCAATAAATATATTTTTGATGCTATACTGGGTACTATGTTTCCACTTTGGAATTGGCAGTGGTGCAAAGAATGGCTTCTTCATCTTGAAGCGCTTGCAAGTGTCGATTCTGAGTAGCAAAGAACGAATAGAGACGCTGGAAAACAGTAATGACAGTGCGGAATTATGATTCGTGTTTGTTCAATGGTTGTATTTTCTCTGTACACTCATGTACAATTAAGGTACTGCATTCCATCTCGAAAAGGAGAACTTTATCATTGTGGGTGTATAAACAATCGCCTCCATGCAGTTAGTTGTACGATCAAGGGAAGAAACTCAAAAAAGCAAAGGTCTAGCTAGACAGTGCTAGACATGCATCAACCGCCAAGCCGACTCTAATAAAACATGTCATTAGTCATGATTCACGCAGAAAATGTCAAAGAGCAACAGAGAAAAGAAGAAGAAAAACTCACCTTCCCTCCTTTTCATAGACCACGTCGCTGATAACATCCTTGTCCAAGTCGGGAAACATGCCCGCCAGCGTCTCCACGACATTGGCGTGCTCGGCGCGCTGTAGACGTTGCGCCTCGGCCGTCTCCGCGCTCGCTTGCCGCGCTGCGGCCTCCTCTGCCGAGAGTATACGCGGAGCGGGTTGCTGTAGCTGTTCCTGCTGCTGCGGGCGCGCAGATGCGCGGACTTGCTCCGCGCTGCGCCGCGGCAAGGAGCCACCGTCCTGCGAGGATCTCGGAGGCACATTGCTAGAATGAGGGCGGGTGCTACTGGTTCCGGACGATGGCGAGGACGCAGGTTCGTCGGAGAACATGCGCCCAATAGTCGTTAGAGGACGCTGAATGGTGCGCAAGAGGCCAGAGATGGCCGCGCCCTCGCCCGGCTCCGCCTCGCCGTCGTAGCTTGGGCGCGCCGATGACGGGGATGCCCCGTCGTGACCGTGGCTGTGGCCGCCGGTGCCCCAGGCTGGCTTCTCGGAAAAGGTGGCCTGCTGACGAATCGTGGGCGACAAGGCCTGGTTGCGCTCAGCAATGGCGGACACGGCAGCCTCGACGCTCTTTTCGAACTCCTCGTCGCTAATGGTGAGGGATGTGCGGTCCATGTTTTCAACGAATTGCACCGCGCCCATCTGCACAAGCGTCAATAAAAGTGTCGTGTCGTCTTGTGCGCGCGTTTCATGAGACATACCAGTGACGACAGGTAGTAACCAGCCTCGCCGCCGAGGCGGTCCTGGTTACGAAATCGCAAAATGTATTGTACATTAGATACTAAATGTTCAGGATTGGATTGGAGAACGACGTAAATTAGTAGGGGCATAAAAGAGTCGGCCGACGAGTCAGATTTGTTATGTTTAAGGAGGCCTGCGAGTGTTAGCACGCGGAGGTATAATGAACAGCAGCTCAAGACGCACCAAAGATTACTTTGCAGCAATTCAAAACGCAAATAATTTTGTCCCGTGGAGCACGATATGACTTGATCTTCAATAATTCTGGTCTTGTCAGCGTGTGCAGTGTCGAGGCTACGGGCATACGAACCTTGCTGCGCCAGCTTTAGAAACTTTCGTCCACTGTCTTCAATGGCCGGAATATCCAGATGCTCGGGCTTGATCCAGCCGTAAATGTTGATCTTTTGTGCGACAATGTCGTCACGCTCGACATCCTCCTGGTGTTGTCCGCGACGACCTGGTCCGAGCGGCATCTCGCCTCCGCGCTTCTTGGGTCTGACGCCGGGAACGGGCTTGGGAGGCGGAATGGCAGGCGAAAAGGTTTGAGAGTACAGTCGATTCATGACAAGCTTCTCCATACCTTCGCGCGCGTTGTCAAACTCTGCGTCCGAGACATCGCGCCACACCTCGCAGAGCATCATTTTGTTGGCAATAAAGGCTAGAAAATCGCTGATAATTTTGACCTGCTCATGCACCATCCACTGGCGCTTGGCAAACTCGGTCAAAAAGGACTTGAGGTAGCGCGCGACGGGGTCGGCCTTTTTATTTCGCAGCTGCTCAAGGAATCTGTGAAAGTCAAAGGGAAGCGTGGGCTCGGGCTCGGGCTCCGGAGGGGGCGGGCGGTGCATAGATAGTTGAGGAGATGTTGGGGAGGCAAGGGCGGTCGATCCCCGGGCATCTCTGTTCCGGGGCGGCGTGCCAAACGATCCATCCTTGGGAGGTACTGGCGGGCCGTGGTCATCGGCACTTTCTTGGTCCTTGGCCAGGGAAGAGGTAGAGGGGCCAGCGGCATCCGCATCCTGCGGCTGGCTGGTAACGCCGGCGGAGACTGGCTCGAGGCTCGATTTTCTGGGCGGATGCTGCATGGGACCGCTACCAAACAAGGGAGAGGTTATCTCCAGCCTCGGGCTCATGACCTCGTCGGCGTCGGGCCCGCCTCCGTACTCGCTGAATTGTTCCATGATGCTCTGAATCTCGGATCGCGACCCGCCGTCGGGCTCCTCTTCGCTAGCATATCTCTTGTCGTCATTCTCGGCGGGAGACCTCGTCGGCGAGAATTCATCGGAGCGGTGTGACCTGGCGGCATTGGAGGGCGATCGTGAGGACGGCTGGGAGGTTATCGGAGTTGCTGGTGTGGGGTCGACATAGCTTGATGGTTCTGGTGTGAGGTACTGGGTAGAAATGTCGGCGTGGTTGTCCTTGAGGGGATTGATGGTGATTGCTGACGCAGACATGTCGCGGTCCTGTGCGCTGGCTGAAGCATCGTCGGCTTGCTTTCTAGTGGTGGTGACGGCGTCCGCGAGCTGTTCTGACATTTTGGAGCCGGTCTGCGCAGGCGGTGTAGTTGGGGCTTGCGTCTCGGAGATGGGCTCAGGCGCGTGTGCGGTATCGGAAGCCGTTTGGCTGATCGTTGAGGGTTCTTTCTCGACTACACCACTGGCTTGCGAGTCTTCTTCGGGCTCCTTTGCCACGGAAGAGTCTACAGCCACTGCGGCGTCGGGTCTGTTGGGCTCGGCATGGGTGGCAGTCTGTTGGGCGAGGGGCTCGCTGGGAGACTGAGAAGGCGATTCTGCCCCCCCGGCGGGCTGCTCCGGGGCAGTCATCCCCCTATTCGAAGACTTATATCGTGGTATTTTCGGATCGGTTGGTCGAGGACGGTTGCAGTGGTGAGGGGTCTTGAGGGATGCAGCTCGTGATGCAGGACCGAGCTTGTGTAGCTCGAGCTGGAATATACCGACTGGCTCGCATGTACTTTGCGGCTAGCTGTGTCTATCGTCAAGACTGGGCTGCACTCAATACTGTGCCCAACGTCAACTAGAATGAAAAAAAGAGAACAGCGCCGTAACACAGCAGTCGACACGGCACAATACCGTTGGGGGGCGTGAAAGATGACGGATGGAGGTTGGAGTTGAAGTCGGAGCCTGCCTTGCCGACATTGCTGGGCGGGGGTTTCGGCCTCGTCCTCGTCTTACGTAGGCGGCGCGGCTTAGCAGAGAAGGCGCTGTAATTAATTCATGAAGGATTGGTCACAGTGGCTACAGCGGGCTC